GCTGCTGCTGCTGCTGCCACTTCTTCATGCGCGCTCGCTTCGTTAACACTTTGTGCATATCCGGGTTCGTACAGGTTTCTAGGCTTCTCAAGCGGCTGTGACGCTCCCACTGCCTTCTTGCAACCGGCGATGCCCCATTCCCAATACTGTCACACAACACGATTCACTCCTTCTGGAGATCCCTACGCTTGCTAAGAAGCGAGGTTGCCTGCATTACGACCTTAGTAGCATGTGGTTGCACACGCCTGGTTCCCCTCATCATCATCACGACCTAGCTGCTTCATCATCACGAACCAGCCCCCGTCATTTGTGCCACCCAAACAATGTCCCTCCGAGTGGTACAGCAAAGCCCAAAACTGTGGGCAGAGCCTACCGGAAGGAGGGGCCTTTATACAGTATACCCCTCCTTCTTCTTCTTCGTGCTGTGCGCTCCACGAAGGGCTGCGTTGGGGCTTTGCCCCATGGCACGGGCCTCTACCCAAAGAATTGTTGATGAGAAACTTCTAAATCCGTATACCGTCTTGCACTGACCTTAGTGTACCACCATTCCCATGGTAGGAAGTAGGCAGTCGTGCAGACTGTATAGTATCAACCAAGAGTTCAGCCTTCAAATTTCAGTTTGCGCATCGTCAAAGGTCTTATCAGCGACCTGGAAATGCCCGCTGGCCATAGCACTAACAGTCAAGGGATTAACGTTCCAGTCGTCAATGCATAGATATTATCTATGCATATGGAAGTCCTCTTTTCTATGACCCAAAGGGCAGCAATAGATGACTAATTTTGAAAACCCATATGTATGAACACAACACTAGTGCGCACATCTTTCACATGTATAATGCGCACTCACCGACCCGAATGAAGGCCTGAATGTCCGCGCTCGTCTCTACAATTCTGATAACCATTTGCGGGAAGGACTTGTCACAAAACGTCAGGCTGCCAGTACTATCTGTACTAGTAGCTGTAAGGAAATGAAGGTCACAACCTGATTACAACGTGGAATCATGCTGATTTAGGTGCATGTCAAATCAGGAACTCGCAGCGAGTTCTCTTGATTTCGGTGTTTCTTATCGGGAGTTGCCAAAGCGAGGCTTATGATATTCGTGGGACTACACAGTGCCGGCCTAATGTGGACGAATACCTGCTTAGGCTTACAGAAAGTTTCTGCCAAGCCGCACACTGAGCTCCATGTGGGCGTTTGTGTCCAGGTGGAACCCAACCTCAATTGTCCATATGGTAGTTTCCCAAAATACGGGCTCCCAACATAGACCCCAAAATACTGTAATCCTTATTACAGGGACCCCAAAAAGGCACCCTTGATGTTGGGAAACCCCATATCAACATGCAAGCAATCGTTTTATCGGCAACTCCCAGGTGCCGGTCCTTAATCCTTAGGCTCCCTGAAAATCAGGCCACATAGACTGAGGGTTTGTAAGTTCCAAGTTGGTGAGGGTTGCCTGCATCTCGATCCCGGCGCTCCGGTGACCCCGCAAGGTTTCGGCGACCTCACTACCAGGTTGCTGAGACAAACGATCAAGAACGAGGCTTGAGACCTCTGCAAAGCATCAAACCCTAAAGGTTCTAAACATGTTGTTGACCTTTCTGCAATCGGCATCCCAGTAATATGGCTGCTTCTGCACGATCACTTGGCTCTGCACTGAAAGACCAACAGCCCTAACGCCTGCTTTGCATGAGGCAGGCAGGCGTTGTAAGGCACTCCAGGATATTAGGTACCTGGTTGTGACTTGGGAGTTTCCCCTGCCTAAGTCTGATGGAAAGTGCAAACAAGATGCCATGATTGGTCCAAAGGAGGGAGGATTGTCACCCAAGCGGAAATACTTGAAGTGGATGTCCTTCAGGGATTGGGTTTGGGGCTTAGGAGTTCACAGGGCAGGAAATTCAGAGGAGATATAGCAGTTTAAGTCTTTGAAAATTCTGTGCGATCTAGGTTCGAAGAGGTGTTGAGGAGACTGAAAAGCGGACAACACTCCTCTCTGTGATGTATGGGTCTGACGGAAACACTGCCAGTGAGACCCTAATGCCTACACGGGAGTATATGCGCCATGACACTATTCTATGAGATGATATTACCACAATGCCACTAAAACATGTTACTACTCCTCCCCTACAACAGCTTGGAAGCCTCTTGCGCCCCTCAAACGCTATTATGATTGAAGCTACGGAAGGGTTGATGCTATGCCAGTCAGACAGCCTAATTTCTTGGATGGAATGCGCATAGTAAACCTCCTTGTTAGCCATGTCATCCTGGACTCCAGGGTACGCTTGAAAGCGCTACATAAAAACATCTGCCAGGGGGGAGGGGGGGGTTCTAGGAATTCAGAGCCATAAACATTATAAACTACCCCGGCACGAATCCTTAGCTATACGAAGGAGCTTGAGACCTAAGAATCGCCTTGAACAATCCGCTGCCAGGAACGGTCAAAGCCCCCAATTAAACCGTTTTGCAGTGGGTCCCCCTAAATCCCTAAACTCCTGATCCCCAAAAACCCTATGCCCTAGCCCCTAATTAACCTAAACCCCTAAACCCCAAACCCTAACCCCCTAAACCCTTTTTGCAGTGGGTCTTGAGTACCAGCCCAACTTTCCCTCCTGTGCGTTTATGCAAGCACTCGTGGCTCACATGGCGCGCTCCATGATTTTTGTCATCCAGGCATCAGGCACAACTTCAAATACAACAATTTTCTCAAAGGAATCAAAGGTGCTTTTGCAACATACATACAATTTGGCCTCACGAGTTTGCATAGCACTCTCGCACATTAGAAGCTGAAACACAAGCCTAAATCCTGATTCCATTTTACCCCAAATTCTTCACTCAAGAAACTAAGGGGGACCCCAATATAGATCCGAAAACACTATAATCCTGAATATTGGACCCCCAAAAAGGTACCCCTAATTTTGGGAAACCCTATAAAACAACACACCCTGAGTCGGGGATCCTTGAGCGGCCCGGGCATTTTTGCCTGCAACATCTGCGTAATCTGGCCGAAGCGATCTTCCATCATCCGGGCGATGATGATGGAGATCTTTGGGTGCAGTTTACCTCAAGGGTTTAGGGTTTAGGGTCGCATGGCCGAAGTTCACTGAAGGACACAGACTCATACGAGGCTCGCATAAATCTACTAAGGCTATATGAGGTCTGCATTAGCCTATATTACATATTATACATTATATGTTATATATTATATACAGTACTCCTAGTATGCCACTTAGTAACCTCTATAATACTGTCCTATATAATCCCCATATTACCCCCCTTTAGGGAGTTTAGGATATAGCTCATATAGACCTCCTTCAGGCGGATCTACCTGATATCTACCAACCTCTCAGGCTTCCTTGATTAGGTCGTTGTTACCCAAAGCCCTCACATCACAAACCTCGCTTGGAGCATTGCCCCTTACAACACAGCAGCCCCCAAATGCTGAAATTGCAGCAATATTATACACTTAACCAGGGGCCTTGTACGACTTTCACAGCCTGTTTGGTGTCGGCAGTACCCAAGGCATGCTTAACTACATGGTATGTGTGCACAGTGGACATGCAGTGCTGCCACCGTCAACAGCTAGGTGAGACCGCGTCGTACCCTCAGAAGACTGGCGGTTTTTATTTTGAAAAATGCTCAGCAGGTGCCTTCTAAAAGCATCGATATTTCTCAACACAGCTCTCCACCTTCGCATATCTCAACACAACATATTCATCTCTCGACACTACTTGCAAAAGACCGTTTATGCTATGCCTCTATATACTAGGTACCCTCGAAAAAGAGAGCAGGGTTGTCAGCATGGTGAGCCCAAAGCCACGTACTGCCACTTCGGGAACAGTCGCAACCACCCTTTGCATCTAACTCAGCCCTACCTGAGCTATAGTCTAAACTCCTAGTATACCCCTTAATATCCCTTATAATACTCCCCTATATACCCTGTTTAAGGAGTTTAGATTATGGCTCACCCTGGTTGCTCAGGCAAAAGCCAGGCAGCCATAGATTCTGTTCACCCACTCCAGGGAGAAGGAGCGGTCGATCGGTGCAACCGTCTCCTGGGTTGCTGTTAAGGAACTCAAACTAAGTTACCATACTGGGTATATATAGTAAATGATAGGGATTCCCCAATATAGTAACTTAATTTAAGTTCCTTAACAGCAACCCAGTCTCAGGCTCGTTTTCAGAAGCTTCAGACTCCGACGAAGCATCCTTAGCTCAGGGCTGACATGCGGGTGCCATTGCAAAAATGATATTCACTCCTTGCCATGTTTGTCAAGGCATCATGCTTCTGCTGTAGTAACTCTAGTGAATCTGTTCGAGTTGGTTGTTGGTTGGGTTTGGTCGTTATTATCGTTACCAGTACTTTTTTGTCGTATAATTATCATGCTGCTGCTGCTATTTCGGGGCCACTCAGGCGAGACGACTCGAAAGTAGTGGCCCTGCTGGACTCTGTGCATCATACTCAGGCGTTCCCACTTGATGCAAAGGCTTTCCAGAGCGCCTTGACATCTCTAGATGCTGACCACTACTTCGAGCTTAATTGGTTCGCGCCTTAACCATTATCCGCTCTATTATCCCATCTTAATGCGCAATGACTGGCGACAATGAGGTGGAAGCACGCGTTCTTGCACATCCTGTATGCCTGCAGTACTAAACGTCATGACATTCATTCGAGTAACCCTTAGCCGCCCTCATTCGTATTTGGGCCATGCACCAAGTGCCCTGAGCCTCCAAGCGCTCTGTTGCACAAACTTTCTAACTTTGAGGACTTGCTGACCAACCTAGAACACATGAAGTCCTGCCCAAATCCGTCGATGCCCAGGCTGTGCAGCAAAAGCTCGTCCTCCGCGCCCTGGATAGCCAGCCTTTTGACCGCAGTTTCGTGCTTTGCGCGATGCAGGCCCATCAAGCGGACCTGGACCTAAGTGGGTGCATAGCGTTCATGCAGATCCAAACTGTCCGAACCGTTGAGGCAGCGGTGTGCGCAATGGGCGGCCGCTTGTAAATCCTAGTGCTGGTGGCGGCAGCGGCGGATGATGTTGTGGCGGTGCTCACAAAACTCTCCTGGTAGATTTAGTCGGGGGAGGCAGTGGGTAGGTAGGTGATGGCGATAGCCAAGGAGGAGCTGGCAGCATGAGGTGGAAGCAGAAGAAGCAGCAGGCACCATGATGTACAATAGATGATTCGCGCCTAGGTTTTTGCTATGCAAGCACCTTGCTCACATAATGCCTTGGAAAGGTCACCAGGGAAGTGTTCTTCCCAACTTAACCAGGCTGCAGGAATAGAGGCCCTGAGGAACCTTCGATCCCATGCAGTAGCTTCTATGAGCAATTTTCAGAAACACTCTTTGGAAGCTTTTGCCAAACTGCATCGGCAGCGATCGTTCGATCAGTTCCATCTTCCAGACGCAAGTGGCACCTGACGCTCCCGTTTTCAAGACATTTACTGGGTTGCTGTTAGAGGAACTTAAATCAAGATAATCAAGTTCCATACAGCATTATGGTACATAATAGGGTTTCCTCGATAACTTAGCTCAAATTCCTTATGAACATCCCAATTTAGTGCTTGGACTGAGCTGGGGCTCGAATTCTCATCCTTATACTCCTGGTTTTTAGTAAGGAACAAAGAAAAAGGGAATACAACCCCTATCCCCTTAAATATTATATTCCCTCATTTCCTACTAACCCGCTGTATGTACAGGGTGTGGGTCCATGGGCCTTCGAATATCTGGAATCTCGTCAGGGCCATAGAGTCTAGACTCTAGACTGCAAGGAAACCATAAGACTACACAGCTCAAATGCTCGCTTGTACATATCCCTGTCAATTCGACATGCGGCAGAAGCTCATCCAAGAAAAATCCTACTCAGAGAACCCCACAAGGAAATTGCTTGCACTCAGAACCTTACACCCTAGAAGAATCCCCTACTGAATATCAATCTCTACTGTATTTAGGCTCTGGTCCCTCACTGAACGCTTTCACAACTGGACTTGCTGAGTGCCAGACCTCACTAAACCCTAAACCCTAAACCCTGGACCCTAAACCCGAAACCCCTAAACCCTGGACCCTAAACCCTAAACCCTGGACCCTAAACCCTAAACGATTCAACAGCGAAGCCAGGCCACGGCTGGAAAGAAACTGTATGATTCGGCGCTTTCACCAGCTGTTGCAGTTGGAAGGCGTGCTTGGCCACAACTTGGCCTGAATGCGCAGGGGTGTGTGCATCATATCTCAGAATTCGTTTTTGTTAATACTCTAAAGTGGCCAGACAACCAGGAACATGTCATGGATTTCCAAGCTTTAGATTCTAGATCCCATGGATTCCCGTGATATCCTTACTGCACGCAAATCTAAGCCCCTCTTCTTGAGCCTGAAAAACTTGAGATCATCATCAAGGTTTCAGGCCTGCATCGTTCAAGGCAGCAATCTCCAGGCTCTGAGTCTCCAGTGCCAGTCTGGAGATTGGAAGTCGGAGGATTGCTTCAATCGTGCACTCTGCCTCCTGGTTGCAAACTGGTTGGATTCGGCTAGATCACCTCATGTGCCCCTCAACCCCAACTGAACTTACACAGGCGCAAGAAGTTGATGAGCAGCTGTGCTCATCTTGGAAGCGTTGCAAGAACACACACACAAACACATGATGGCCCCATGACCCTTACTGCCCTTAGTCCCAGCAAACGCGCAGAAACCCACAGAACCGGCAAGCAAAGCCTTTTGATTCCGAGATGTCTGCGAAGTCACAGATCAAAGAAGCTAGCACAGCATGGGTCTGAGGCCTCAGGCCACGATCTCAAGCATTTCGACGGGGTCAAGATAAGGTTCGACGAGTTTTCAAGCCCTGTGACGTTGGTCAGTCCATGGCTTCCACAAATCTCAAGCAGTGACGGGATGTGGAGGAACATAGGGGCAGGGTAAGCCAGGTGGTAGAGCCGGAGTAAATGTCCCATCCATGCAGCAAGTTGAGGTGCAACTCTCTGCCGGCGCGACGCTAGGGACTGCATGGTACCAGGTGGAGGAGAATACCGCGGATCCAGGCGGAAGGAAGACCTGTCAGGCAGAGCTTTCTACGTTAGAGGTGGCGGTAGGCTTTTCTAGCGCCATGTAGAGATCAGGTAGGGCTTAGGGATATTATCTCAAGAATGGAAAATCAGGATGAAATTGAAGACTGAAGTCATACAGGGACTGGCTTGCGGGGCTGCAGAAGGTTTTTTGGCTTCGCAATCCATCACCTCCGTACATTCTCGCTGTGCAGGGGCAGGGCCCTTGTAGACAAGCTCCACAGAACTGGCGGAGAAGATCTTGCCCTTGCAGGTATCAATAGCTTCGGCTAATCCATCTTTCGGCTGGCCCAAGGCAGCAATGTAGCACCTCGGATTCCCAGCAACATAGGGACAATTGTTGTCCGGTGAGCATTGGGCTGTCTAAGGACGAACGAACCTAAGGCCACGTTATACCGTCGATGGAGAGACAGCTTGCACCCTGAGCGCAATTCAGCCTACTTACTCAGTGGTTTAGAAGCCTCGGTGGTGCAAGATCTCCTTCATCAACACTGGCACCCCAGATAGAGAGCAAGGGCACACTCAGCTTGAACCGCAAGCAACCCTAAGACCCATGCAAAAACCAAACTTTACATCCCAATTCCTCAAGGCTTAAATGTTGAACCTTAAGCCATCATAATCCTGTTATAAGTTGCGTAAGAGCCCCCTTTTTTAAATCCTCACCTAGGCACTCAATCCGGTTAACCATCCGCCACTCTACCTTGGCAGTGACCTCTGTTTGCTCTGCCAGGCTTTGAATGTCCTGATAGATGTCTCTCCTTGGTCCCTCTTCTCCTAGGAACAAAACAACCGATTTTCTGTAGTTGTACAAGGAAACCCATCCCCCCCCCCCCCACACCCCCCCAAAAAAAAGAAAGCCAATGCGGTCCTAACGTGGACCCAGCTTCCTCTCCGTATAACATTCCGCAAATTTGCTGCAAGTGTATGTCTTATGAACATCGCAGGCTCGCTGTTCGAAAGACGCCTGCGTCTTGGAACACTCCATCCTGGTATCCCAGTACTGGCACATCATCCTCGGCTGTACTGTAAAGCGCCACAAATTACATGTGAACAGACTCCCTTTTTAAAGGGAAGGTCCCAGTTATCCCAAAATTTGTCACCGGGCATCTGTTTGCAGAGCTCCAGATTGACGAAGGGTGTGCTGGATGCATTTTGGCACTTGAGACGCTTCTCAACCACTGCCTCATACTCCCCCCTAAAGTGCGCGGCCATATCCTTCAGGTAGTTCCCAATGGTCGGAACTGGTGTGTCCCCGCCCATGACGCAAGTACTTGTTGGGTTTGGGATGTCTTGGGACTGCATGTAGGCAGCGCAGAGTGCATGGATCCGTTCTGTGTAAATCTTCCAGCCCAGCACACAGGTTGTTTGAAAATTGTTGTAAAGGTTGGCCTCAGACTGGCGGCACTGGATGTGCTTTGCATCTAGCTCAGCCAACTCTTCCACAAACTGCGTGTCGTTGGGGTGCGTGCAAGTACTGAGGTTGGCCCAAGCCTCATCGAGATCTATCCTCAATCAGTAGGGACCCCAGCAGGGATACAGCCATGCATGATTGTGAAGATTCTATTTTAGTTGCCATTTAAATATTGAACGCCCAAAGCCGTTTTCAACACTGGCAAAGAATCTGTGTCTGGTTCATACGCACCAGGATGCTCTTCTTCATGCTATTCTGGATGAGCTGCTGGATCTCTTTGAGGAAATCCGTGAGATTTGTTGCCTCAGCACACTTTTCTGCCACACCCTTTCCGAGAGCTTACCAGTAAAAAACAAAGATTTTTCTATGTATCCCATATAGTAGTTTCCACTTCATTTTCGATTCCTTTCTCCACCATTTACGGATAGTGCAGCGGTTTTGCTGGAATATGTATATTATCCCCAATCATAGGTAGTCATCCACATAAACTACCGTTGGGGCTGTTGCCAGGTGAGGAGCCCAGATCCTACCCCACCAAACTTGTACCCTATACCTTGGACCTAAAACCCTAAAGACCCTAAACCCTAAGACCCTAAACCCCTAAACCCTATAAAATCAGGTTAGGGAAGTCGCGGAGGCGGCCCCCTTCCCCGATTCGGCTAATCGAGCCATATTCAGGACGGAGGCCTCCATGTTCATAAGCGTCGCCTCCATCAATGAAAGGTGGGTGATTGTCAAAATGATGGTCCCTTTTTGGGTACCCTAAAATATTAGGTGCCGTATTACAATAGGGATCCAAAAAGGAACCCTCATTTTAACAACCACCCAGGTTTTAGGTGGGTTTGGGAACATGAGGTGCAGGGTTCCGGGCTCGAGGGTGTAGAGCTTTGGGTGAGTAGCCATCGCGTGAAGTCACCCTGTCAAAGGCATATTTCTGAAAGCATGGGCAGTCTACATTGGCCTCTTGCCAAGGTACCTAGAAAGGATCGGAGGCTTCAGGAATGTAAGGGGCTACATGGAGTACCCACAATACATTCCAGAGGGCTTCGTTCCCTTCGCCTAGTATTGAACGCCCGAGGCGCCGAATGTTAGATGTGGCCCGTCATCTGTGAGGTCCCTCATGCAGAACATTTAGTATTGGAGGACGGGGAGGGCGGGTTTTGAAAGGGGAATGGTGGCTACAGGGTTGGGAGCTCTTAGTCTTCACAGATTTGTACCAAGCAAAGTGGAACATTGTCAAATGCTGGCATTTCTGAAGCAATTATTCTCAATGGCTGATCAACTGGGATTTGTGGAAGCTACTCACAGATGCATTGCTACTACTAGCACTTACGAGTACCTAAGCTGAACATTGTCAGAGCATAAGCCATGAAAATTATATCAGATATGAGCTTTCTGACCATCAAAATGAAATTAAGAACTACGACAACAACAAGCCTGCAGTAATGTATTCATCTATATACCCTAAGCCCTAAACCCTAAACCCTACAATGATCCTTCTAGCCTTGCCTTCTTTCTTGTTCTCCCCCAATCGTGAACCCCAAGCTGTATAGACACCGAACCTCACTGCCTCCAAATCCTGAACCCTACATTATCAAGTCCTAACGGCTAAGCTCTAAATAAAAGAGCAGTTTCCACTTTCTGTTCCGGCACTACCCCCCAAAAAACCTAGACCTCATATCAAATGCACCCTAGACCCCGAAGCCCTTTACACTGAGCCCCAAACCCTAAACTGGGTTGCTGTTAGGAAACTTCAACTAACTTACCATAATATGCATGTATACTAAAAGATAAGCTTTCCTTACTATAGTAACTTAACTTAAGTTAGCTAAACCCTAAACCCCCTAAATCCTGCACCACGGATGCCTTCTCTGGCGCCATGGCCTTCATGCGCGCCGACATCTTCTGCTCTGCGGTGGTCATCCGACTCCTCCTTTCAAGACAAAGAATCTACAGGGGCAATAGGGTTTACGGTTTAGGGTCTGAACTCCTGGTATCCCTCAATAGCGGAGAATCGAATGGACAAGAAAAGATGGAAAATGAAACGGAAGCTGGGATTATATAGAGGATTATAGGGGCTATACTCTAAACTCCTAGCCTAGCATCCCCCTTAAGAAGCCCTATAGTAACCCCCTACATAATCCCATGTTTCATCCCCTCTGAAGAGTTCAGACTGTAGCTCATACAGGTGTATGTGTATAGGGACATATAGGGGTTCAAGGGGTTTAGGACTCTTCGTCCCAAGGGGTGTAGGGTTTAGCATGAAGGGGTTAAGGCTTTGGGCAGAAACTTGCCTTCACAGATATCTAAGTACACACGTCTAGTTAGGTTTAGCGGTGATTATACCTGCAAAGTTGGAAAAAGACCATGAATTGGTACGAGAAGACATTATTCAGTCTCAGTCTTTGACAGTACTACTTGAATACATCTCGAGACAGGAAAAGAAGCAAAATTGATGGTTGACACTCAGGAGAGGCATGTAAACCCTAAACCCTAAACCCTAAACCATAGCCTGAATGTTGCAGATGTTGCAGCTGCTCCAACGAGCTGCCCGACAAGGGGTAGCTGGACAGCCATATTACAAAGCACATAGGTGGTCGTCAAAATTATGGTCCCTTTTTGGGTACCCTAAATAGTAGGTGTCGTATTATAATAGGGATCCAACAAGGGACCATAATTTTGACCACCACCCACATAACAAAGCACATGTTTGATCCATACTAGCAGTTACTTAACAAGGAGCAGAACTGAGACTTATCCCACCTGGGGCGGAACGTCTCTGAGGCTCGGGTTGCCATCAAGAAGCACAACGACGATAAGATTGTCATTGTACCCCTGAATCTCTGCACACTCCATACCATATGTATTTTAGGAATATATAAGGGGGGGACCCCGATTTCTTGAAAACTCACACATTATAATCAAACTGAGTATACCCATAAAACCCCAACATTATAGTAGTTTCCAATTTCTTTTCCATTATCCGTCATTATCCCAATATTACCCCAATATTAACCCATAATAACCAAAAACTCCACACAAACCCTTCAGCCTCAACGTCGCCGCATCGAGGTATCGGACAGAGCTGAGGAGCAGAAGCTGCAGCAACCAACTCTTCATTGTGGGTCCGGACTATTCACCTGAGTCGTGTTTTTTGGTGGTTGAACCTAGTAAGATTATATTCCTTATATAAAATACTATACCCCAAAAGGAGGATAGAATCTTACTCTATAATGGGTACCATGCAATCCCCAAATAAAATACTATATCCCCAATATAACCCCCTATATAACCCCAGTTTCCATTTCATTTTCCATTTTCTTTTCCATTTGATTCTCCATTATTGGGGTACTATAGGGTACCATAGAATACCCAAATAAAATACTACTCACCTGAGAAGTTGGAGTACTTTACTGTCATGGATCATGTGTAGTCGGTCCAGGTGCTGTCTTAAGTCCCGTAGGGCTAGCTATTGCTACAGTTGTCCTCGCAGTATGAAGGAGCGTCTATCAACTTCTGGAAGTAAACCTTGTTGCAGAATTTCCGGAAAGAATCCCCTTGCTTCTGGGCTTAAGGTATTGTGGCCTTAGGGATTCGGCTTTCGGCGCGCGAATCACCTGCGGGGCTTTTAAGGTTGAGGGTTAATACTTGGGATCTACGGAACAATCTGAACAGGAGAGCTACTGCGCAGAAAGATCTCAAGGTTCAATCTGCAATTGAACTTGTTCTTGAAAGCCCAGCCCCGAAAAAGATCGTTCGTGAATGGGTTTCTCATGAAATAATTCCTAGTTGGCAGATTCCACAAATCAGGGCCGCAAAATAGACTCGAAAAGATTTTAATCCTTGCTTGAGGGGCTCCCCAGATGGACCAGCCCCCTTAAACAATGATCGAGTCGCTGTTCCCCTTGAAGGGGAGCTGCAAGCGTCAGCTCCCGCATTCTTGGGCCACAGGGCTATCAAGATCCAAGCACGATGAAGAGGGGGTTCCGAAAAATCCGGGGTGCCTTCCGGGGTTTGGGGTCTTCGTAGTCTATTACGAAAACACCCCGCGCCTCCTCTGATTCAGCATTCCCTGTTATTGTAAAAGCAATCCTTACTCAGAATACTTAACTTTAGGCGGAGGTTGTGCTTTATAAGTGGGAAGAGGATACAAGCACATGTGCAACATGTACCCAAAATTATGCAGCCATGGTCAGCAGCAGGAGCCGTAGTTAGAGTAGAAGGAAGAGAAGGAGCAGCCTAAAAGTAGCTGTAGCAATTGCGGCAGCACTTATGCACTTAATGGTGGCCAGGGCGATACCTGTAACAATGGAGCATTATGACAACAACAGGAAAGGTATCACAGGCTCATTGGTGGCTCCTGGAAAATCTGACTGCCACTTCCCCCCACTGTCCGCCGACGCCCCTCCTGATCGGCTGCCTCCGCAACTGGAGCGTTTGGGGTTCTTAGAGGATTGCTTAATGCATCCCGGCTTGTTGAAGACATAGCTCTCAAGTCCATGCTCAACGGGGTTCGGCAAAGGGTAATTGTATGTATGCTTGGGGGTCGCGAGGTATAAGTTGCGGGTTTTGACTGTTTGCCTGCGTGGTTCAAGTTTGGGCTGAAGTAGAGAGAAATCGCTTTGACCTCGCTTGTTCCTTGCCTGCTCTCGTATGAAGAAGTCTGAAGACCAGACTACATTGCAACATTACCCTAAACCCCTAAACCGAGTCAAATTGACAAGCTGGCCTGGTCCAGTCCTCATCCAAACATTTTCTCAAGGTGAGTGGCGTTTTTTGGGCTAGATAAAATCCTATTCCATATTGGGCAGTACTATCCCTAAATAAAACACTACTCAGGTGAAGTGTGAAGGTCCCCCTACGTGCCCGCGAAGTACTACTGGCTACGGCTGTGACCCTTACAAACAAATCTGCAACAATTCGGCAACCAAATGAACTGACTGACGGAGGGTGCCTTGCTTGTTGTGCTAGTCTTACGGTACAAGTTAGGTTCTTTCTTCCATGTTCTTTACTTTATCATGGTGAGCGGCTTTCCTATCCCATTGCTATACAACAGGCATTGCTACTGCTGGTACTACCTTCATCTGAGCTAGAGTCTAAAGTCTAAACTCCTAGTATCCCACTTAGTAGCCCCTATAATAATCTCCTATAAAATCCTGTCTATAACCACCTTTGAGGAGTTTAGATTATGGCTCATATGAATGCTTGCAATGGCCTCCTGATGGCATCGCACCAATGGCGTCCGCAGCTGCTCGTGGCCCATCCGCACAGACCTGGCAGGCAGTGGGGTCACATTTGCGTACTGGGGGTTAAGGCACACATTATATAGGGATTATATGAGATATATTCCCTTGTTCCCTACTATAACCACTAGTAAGTTTGGGCATGACGCCTGCTGTGCCGTATTGCAGTGGAGGGTTGTTACCAAATTCTTTTAAGGCCAGCATTGAACGTCATTCCTTCCTGCGTTTATGAAGTATTTCTACAGTTGGCAAAATCCTATGAGCTATTGTGTAAACTCCTAGTATCCCTCTTAATCACGCCTTTTTCAGGAGTTTAGACCATGGCTCCTATGATGCTCAACATCGGCAAGACGCATAGAGAGCTGATCCATCTTGAGCGTGGTGGGAAGGAAGGCCTGCAGGTTGCCAAGCACAAAGAGGGATATGGGGGTTTCCAAAAATTAGGGGTACCATTTTGGGGGTCCCTATAATAAGGATTATAGTATCTGGGGGGTCTATATTGGGGTCCCTTTATTTTGGGAAACTACCATATAATAACATAACAATACGAATAACAATAATAATGACACGGCTAATCAGACTGAAAATCATCATAACAATAATAATAATCACAATAATAAGAACAGTGATAAAATATAACAGTAATAATAATTGTACAAATCCGCCTGGGTGGATCTTTGATTGCTTGAAGTATGTGAAGGCGGTCCGTTGATTAAGCGGATTAGGTGGTGAGTGCGGAGCCCTATTTCGAGAAATGGCCCTCTGTCAGTGGCAAGCGAAACAAAGTTGAGCAAATTCTGTCCCATATGCGGCATCGCCTCATCAATGTGGCACTGCAATAAGCAGTGGTCGTAATCCACCTGCGCTCAGTGCTCAATGCAGCTGGTGCTGGCCTGCGCACATCCTTCAACACCATACTTCTGTTCATATTAGATATCCTACGTAATATTAGTAGACCATGCAGCCATACTTCTTAATTAAGGTAAGGTATTTAGGGTCATGCAGGTTTTGGGCATCTACCGTAACACGCCGTTTACCACATTAAAGGTGTGATCGAACTGTGCATCCCAAATTTGCCGAGCTGCTGAGTGCGGGATGATCCTCAGCGTGTCCGTAGGATAATTCTTTCGTAACCCCATTAATCTACCATGAGGCCCCGAACCATTCTTCCCAATCTCTCCCATTGAACTTCAGGGCTTAGGGATTTTCAGAAAAAAGGACAAGACAAGCAATTGCCCCTTGGCGCTAGTCAGGAATGGGAACATTGGTTGCAAAAATCATTCTTGGGGGGGGGGTCCATCCACTCTGGCACTCTCCCGTACGCAGCACTAAGATGGAGGGCAACAGCGACCCCCGACGAGGTAGCCGGGTTGCCCCAAGAAATTTGCAATCCTGCTTCCGCTCTCTAGCATCCTGCCTCTAAAGCCATATACATAAATATGAGGATGCATGCGGTTATACTGGGATAATATTTCATCTTGCACTCTTTACCCATTTGAATTCCCTAAGCCATAAAAGGTAATCATGAACGCCACCCTAAACCCTAAACCCTAAAATAAACCCTAAATCCTAAAACCC